GTGGAGCTAGGAAGTTGTTTGCACATGCCTTGTGCATCTTTAAGCCGGTGCCTAATTTGCTAATGGGTGTGTTGGATCCAGTTTGCATGCAGTCATAACATTTTGTTAATTAAAATTAATATTTCTCCAGTCAAGGAAAGACAGTAGTTCCCAGGCAAGCTGTATCCAAGCCAAGTTTCAGACCACTGACATTTTTGCTGCATCTATCTCCCATGAAATCACGTGTATAATAGGAGGAAGTGGGGGGGGACATTTGGGTTTTTTTAAATCCTATTTTTCTCCCCCCACTGAACTTGACAACAAATGAAGACATGTTTTCCTAACTTTCCAAAATACAACAACTCCCCCCTGCACCCTTCATCACACAGTGGCTAAGTCTGGAAAATTACTGCAGCCCTGAAGGTGAATCATTTTTGAAAGTTAGGAGCGTGTGAAAACAGCAGGTTGTAATGGCAACAGTTTTGCAACATTAATTATATCAGTAGTCATTATGCATCCACTGTAATTAAGGTTTTTTTGATAAGACAACAGTGAAATGTGGGCTTACTTAGAAAAATTGCTGTGTAAAAATGGCCCTTCCCTCTTGACCCCAGTAGCTGCCAGATGTTGATTCCATTGGCAGCTAAAACCAGTTCTTATTGCTTCCAGCCTGCAGAGCCAACCAGCCCAGTTATATTTCTTCCTGTGCATCATTGACCAAAAGGTTTCTTAAGTGTCAATGAGTGTCAGCCCCTGCAGGGGCCTATTGGCAACAATGAATTTGTGCAGGTGTCACCAGAAGGAAAGTGTGAGCACTGGTGGGTGGCATAGGAGTAAGCAAAGACTAGCTTGGCTGGCAGACCCTTGATTCCTGGTGCCAATGTGTGAGCTGGAAGGAGTGTTTTTTCTCAGCGGATGAGTTTAAAGGGTTGGCAGCATAAACAAACAGTGTTGTCCTTGTAAACTGATCTCCTTTGATCTGGAGTCAATGGAAGACTATAAATGGGGCCCTGTGTTTATTGAGTCACTTTGCAGAGAAGAGCTCTCTGAAGGGAAATAAAAACAGAGGTCTATGCCCTGACATCATGCTACATTGACTGGCCATAAGTGTCAGCACTCTGCAGGCCTGGCCAAGTGAAGGACAGCATCTGCGGGTACATGAGAGCATCGGGGGGGGGGAACGCTTACACCCATACACTTCCATTTCCCCATGGAATAAGCTGAGCAGGGGCTAGGGGAGTAGGATGTGCCCCCCTCCCTCCTGCCCACTTCTCCCTGCCCTTTACGTTGCATAGCTCAATCAGGAGCATCATGTCTGGATTTTATTTATAGGGCCTAACAGGAGCCATGGTTTGAAGAGGGACATGTACACCAGGGGTGCTCAACACCCACCCCATGGGCTAGATCCTTTCCCTGGAGCTGTGTCATCTGGCCTGCCAAACTCCCCATGCGTCCAAAAATTTGGTGGTGGAGGAGTGAGGGCAGCATTAATTGCCATTCCTTTGCTACAAATTTCCAGACCTAGGGGAGATGGGCCAGATAATGTGGCTCAGGTGCACAGATCTGGGGTGGCATGGGCCAGGTTGAGGCAGGGGTGAGCCCAACCCCACAAGAGATCTGGCCTGCAGATCAGTCATATGCCTCTCATCTGGCCCACAGGGCCAAAAAGTTGAGCACTACTGGTATAGACAATAAGCTGTTGGCTTTTTTCGCTTTGAATGAGCCTGGAGTCTTCCCCTCTGCACTTTCTGCAGTAGGTCACAAGGGAGAGGAGTTTCTCTCCAGAGAGGTTCAAGAGCAAACTGGCCATAGCCTGGGGAAATGGGTATAGAAATTTCACATAAGCTCCATGGAGCCAAATGAAAGCGACAGTGAAGTGGAACAGCTTCATGCTCCAAGCAGGGAGGGCCCATGTACAGTGCAGCAGAGTGGAAATGCTGCGAGGGGAAGTACTGGGTTACTTCAGTGTAGGGCTTCAGCAGAGCACTATGCTGTGCACCAGTCATGGTATGTAGATGCTGCTTTGTGAGATTGTCTATCAGTAATCTCCAAAGTTTCAAACCTAGACACTGTCCACCCTCTCCAATGTGCTCCCTGGACAAGGGAAATGGGTCTTGTGGGGCATCTGCTGCACACATTTGTGCATGTGGAAGCCCCTCTGGAGCAGAACTTTCTGAACCCAAATCTTTCTAGCCTTTTGCTCCACTTATGTACACAAGTCTCACTGAATTCACTGAGATCCTGCAACAGGAGGTCCGATATCTCAAGAGGAGTGGTGGGCCAGGGGTAGAGACCTGCTGTAAGCTCTTACTGCTGAAGTCCACAGACTTGGCACCAGCTTTGAATCAGTTTAATGCATGGGTGACTGGTGCCAACTTAGTCATTCAGCAACTGGAGTGCGGGGGTGGCCCTCCTGCAGCCAATCTCACCAACCAGGGAGGGGGTCCCCCCTCGGCCGATTGTAAAGTGGCTGCAGTGCTCCCGGAAGTGGCCACGCTGCTCCCGGAATGGCAGTGGCCGCTTCTGGGAGTGCCACAGCGCTCCCACTCTCTCGCAAGGGGGCACTGGCCCACTGGCCCTCCTGCCTGCTCCCCCTGCCCATCACCTGATTTCTAGCTTGAATTTATCCTCTCCCTTGTGACCTACTGCGAGCGCGGCCTGTCAGGGGGTGCGCCGGTGCTCTCATGTCACCACTGGTTTCATGGGCTAGAATCCGTGATTCAGAAGAACCGTGGCTCCTCTGAGCTTTTCTTCACCACCCTCCAATTTCCTGGAACTTTCCACGTACCTTAGCATGCAGGGAGTGACTGTAGCAGCGGTCTCCCTAGCTTTCCTATTTCTTCCCATGTCAACATGAAGAGCTAGTGTGTGTTTCCGTAGGATCTTTACAGAAGGTACACAGCTGTTGGTACAGCACAGAGCTCTGCAGTAAGTCTTAGCACTGAATGATCGCTCAGAAAAGAAAAGGTACCACCAGGAGGCAAAGCGAGGCTGCAGGGCTTGGCACCAGTCCACTTCCACCTAGGCTGGTAGGCAAGAAGCAGAGTGTACAGTACAGCTAAGACGGTACCTAAATTAATTTCCCTGAATCCCTCCATGACGAGATGCAAAAACCAGGCTGAGTGCTTGCTGTGGACCTGCCTGCCTTGGACACAAATGCATCATGGCTTCAGTGAGACAGGAGAGGCAGACACAGATTTGCAACTCAGTTAGGCCTCCCCATCCACTTCAGAACGAGGCGGGAAGGGAGTCTTTTTGCCTAATCTGCTGTCTGGCAGTGGGACACAGGCGTTACCATCCTGGAGTGGCTCCAGTCACCTCTCAGTGAGAGCACCTGGCAAGACACACAGCAGAGGCGAGTTTAGGGAACAATTTTATGGGTAAATGATGAAACAGCCTGCCCTGAAGGGGAGTTTCTTTCTGTTCTCAGCCAGTGAGAAGTTGGCTGGTGCCCTGAACCAGGAGGGTTCACATCCTTTGCCATATCTGAGCCTTGCCAATGTGATTGTGCCTGTTCTCATTACTCAGCTAAACGCCTGATGCTGCTCTGTGCCTGGCCTCTTGTGCAAATGAGTTCTGCAGGTTAATCATGCATTGTCCACTAGAAGGACCAGATGGTGGAGGATCAGGCATTCATCTGCTCTCCGTTCTGACCTCAGCATGCCCCTGCTCCAGGGAAGGAGGGACACAAACTTCCTTGTATGGGCCACTCCCACATAGCTGGTTCAGCAACCTGCATGCAAAAGGAGTATACGAGAAACATCTTCCCTAATGCCTACCAGGCTAGATCTCTGCTTGCCAGGGCGTCCCAGTGGGCATTTCATTGTATCACTCATTGTAGGAGTTTCTGCTTCTGTGGGAGGGTCAAAATGGTAAAAGAGGGGTCTTCTTGATGCAAGAGACCTGACCACCTCTGCTTTCATCTTGCCCCCAGGGTGGAAGATCGCCGTGATGATAAGCAGCACAAGATGCACCGCTATGCAGCAGCGTTTACCACCCAGGTCACAGAAGACTTTGACAAGTACTCCGAGAACAAAACAGAGCTGGAGGACAGCGGGCACATAAAAGGCTCTTACATGAAGAAGCTGTCCCACTTCATGCCCTCAGTGTCCCCAACCCCATCCCAGAGGAGCTCTAACCGTGGTTGGGAGATCCTGAGGCACAGCACCTTCGGCAAGCTGCAGGGTCATGTCAATCTGGTCATGGAGAAGGAAGACGAAGAGGAGGAGGTCTATCATGTCTGAACAACTGCTCATCTTCTACTTTAGGACAAGCGATCCCTCTCCTTGCTAGTGGAGGAGGCTGATGTGGTCTGGCACAGACACCATCCACAATAGCTATGGTCCTCCTGTCTACACTCCCATCTGGGCTGCCCATTCCATAGCAGCTCTCCCTTTTGTGGGGTACTGGTGGCTCCATGCCTGGAGTAACACACAGAAATGGGTTGCATTTCCCACTGCATAAATATAGATGTGTGCATGGAGAAATAATCCCCTGATGTATGACCCAGTGTGTTCCCCCCAGCCTAGGGGAGGTCAGTGGGATTCAAACTGAATTGCTAACTCCTTCTGCACCAAGGATGGAGGGCGGTGGAAGGGGTGGAGAGGGAGTTATACCAGCCTGCCTCACCCTTGCTAATATGCTCACTAGTGCATATATGCACCACCACCCTCTCATGAAGGCTGTGGAAGGTGTATCTTCTGCTACAGTTGTGCCAGTAACTGGAGCTTCTCCTCATACAATGGAGCCTGTTTTTATGAAGCAACAGGTGCTGGCTCACCCTCAGGCCATCCATGCTTAGCTGTTGAGCATACTGCATGTAAGCCTGGGGCTGTGTGCTGAGCACCAAGGGACACCATGGAGGGTGATGGGCAGAGACTTTCCAGGTGTGGACTTTCTGACCCCAGGCAAAAGGCTTTTTATTTTCATGCTGGTTTTGTGCTGAGGTACATTTCTGGTCCACCCCAGACTGGTATTTTTTTTTTTTTTTGTATTTAACTCTTATTTAAACTCCTCCTCCCTCATTCCTCCCTGATGCAGACAGGCTAATATATGTTACTGCTGTGACACACTGAAGAGTTTGAACTATTACAACTGTGAATCTTATTGGGATTAATATAGTCATTCCCCTGTCGAGGGGGCTTTCCCACCCCCTTCTGAGCCACATAGGAGTCTTCACTGCCTTTCAAACACAGATTACTTCTCTGCCTTCTACTGCTACGCAGGGGGCTTAACCCTGCACCAGATTAATGGCTGTAACAGCTGTGCTGTTCAAATCGTGGCCCCAGGCCTGATACAGCTGGCAGTGTACGGGAAGGTGGGGTCAAGGCTGCTGCCCATGGGAAGCTGGCAGTTGGACAGGGTTCAAATTGGACGTGGCATTGTGCTGTGGACAGGTACTATGGAGGACCTTGCCATACAAAGGCCTCAGAGAAGCCCCGTCTGTCTTGCCCCCACCGTTGACTCATCATAAAGCTGGGCAGGAGAGTCGTGTTTATGGACCTTCTATTTCAGCCCTATGTTCAGGTCAGGTAGAGCTCAGCCTCCTCTCTTTTTAGTTCTTGATAGGGGTATCTGCATTGCTTCTCCTGGGTCCCAAAGCTCTTGTCCTTTACTCTTGGCAGACATGCAACACCCAGCAAATGCTAGGCTATCAGCTGGAGACACCACTCATCTCCTTTAGATTTCTCCATGGAGTGATTGTGTACTGCCAGATAATGCACTTTATGGGGGATCCCAGGGGCAGGTACTCCTCATTAGGGGCTGGAACCTTAGGACTCATCATTTCCTCTGCCTGGGCCATGTCTAATTGGTCTGCGCTGACCTCTCATGACAGGGGGACTGTGAAAGGTGCTAGGTATCTAAACAAATCCATGTTGGACCAGTGGCTGGTTCGGAGATTGACTCGAGCAGGCTGGCATTTCCTTCCAATAAAGCCTTCCATGTGCAGCCTTTCCTTACTCTGTGGTCATTTTGTCTCCTCTGTTCTAGAAAGCTGGCTGGTGAGGGGGAGGGAAGAACCCCTGCCTCCAGAGAGAACAGCTTAAGAGCACTCTGCTGTCCTCCCCGACATCTGTGGCAGGGTGGGGAGGGAACCAGATGCCCCTACTCTCTCAGACACCTTGTGAGGTGTTGAGTTGGAGCTTGCACCACTGCATCCCAACACAGGGCAGAAGGAACTAGTGTCATCTGTCCCCCTCCCTTCCTCCCTGATACCTAGACTTGGAGCCCTCTACTCCTTCCCAGAGTTAGAAGGAAAAAGCAGGACAGAGTTCCACTCCTCTCACTCCTGACCCCATGAATGGGAGCAATGTAAACCCACAGACCTCCTGTTTTCCCTGTCACCAAAGAAAAGGGATTCTTTTCCCTTGCCAGATCTTAGAGATCTGCTGATCCCCATCTCATGGCCCTCTCTACCCCTTTCCTAACTCCCATGATCATGCAGCCCAGCCAATTCCAGGACCCTCACGGCCCATTCTGCAGCATGCCCTACATCCCCATACTCAGGTTCTCCGCCAGCATAGAGTAATAAGTGGTGTGCTAGTCCCAGGCCCCTTCATGTCTCAGTAAGAAACTCACATAGCAGCACAACTCTCTTTTGGAAAAAAGAACCCATGCCTTTCTGTTGCCTTTATTCGATGGAGCTTCAAAGGGCTCCAGTCGCAGGTACAGTCCGCTGGAGGCTTTGGGACCTTTTGGCCACATCACCTGGCAGAGAATTGGTAGGAAAGTCTCATCCGTCCAACGTATTTTCCAGCTTCTCCCCATATTATAGTAACTCCCCCTCCCCCCAACCCTCTCCCTTTGTACAGTGTCACCCACATCTAAATGCCATCAGTTCTTTAGTTCTGTAGCACCACAGTTGGCTTTCTGCAAAGGTTTGCTTTTGTCCGGCGGAGTGGATGCTCGTGACCCACTCTCTCACAGCAAGCGGTCTTCAGCGATCACCTTGCTGCCTCCTCCTCCCATTTGTAGTGTGCTCCTCTCTCAACCACCAGCCTTTTCCTGGAACCTGAGGTGGTTGAGGGAACAATGTATATGTTACACCTCAACTGGTTCAAGTTGGTTCAGGTGAACTCGCATAAGCTGGATGCTGTTTAGAATCTTCTTCTGGTGACCCACCAGGGTGATCCCAATCCGCTGGATATCCCTGCAAGAGTAAACATTACAGATGAGTAAGGATCTACCCTCTTGGCGATTTTCTTTTTTTTGTGGAAAATGAAAAAAAAAGCAGTTTCTGTGAACCCTGTGAAAATAGCAATCCCTGCAATTTTGGTATGGAATTGCCAGGGGAAAAAAAAAAGTTTCTAAAAATAAAATGCTGACTCCACAAGTGTGGCTTGTTTCTAAGTGCACCAGCCCTGCCTGCCCTCGCTCTTGTTTGGCCTGCTGGGTAGAAGACCACTGGGGGGGTGACAAACAGCAGAAGGATGTTTCTCGGGACCTGTGTTCTCTAATATTTCAACCCCACCTGCAAGATAGTTGGCTTTAAACTTGGTTTATACAGCATGGTCAGACCCCCAGGTGGCCGCAGGTCTCAACACTGTTGTCTCCCCCTAACTATTCAGC